TACCAGTGAGAGGGAGGGGGAGGCCAAGGTAGATCTCTGCACACTCACTCGCCTGCTCCTCACGTGGCCAGCCACCTCTCCTCCTGTTGCTGCATAATAGCTACTGCTGTCTAGATGTTTGGCTCTGAGCCAGAGCTAGAGCATCTGACCTCTATGGATCTGACAGGAGATGCAGAGAGGACAAGGGTGAGGGTTGGACTATGATATTTAGAGACAGGACAAACGGTGTTGAAATTTTCTATAATTTAATAACTTAATGTAAAGAAATTCAATGATGGTTATAAATAATGATTTTGTGGTCAGTGCCCTATCACCCTATATTGGCCCCTGTCAACTAATGACCTGATATGACCTGAGCAAAGAAGACAAGTACCACTGAAACAGAATGTCAAGAATGCAAACTTGGGACTCAAAACACATGATCATTGGAACTGCTAATAATTCGGGTCTTTCATAAACTGTTAGGTAATAGATTTCGATGAAAAATAAAGTTAAGTTCCTCCTAGATAGACTAACCCTAAATTGCTTTATGTAGGCTAAATGTTGGGCTGAAAAGGATCTTTTATCAGAGGAGAATAAAGGGCTATCACCTCCTAGTTCCTCACCATGTATTAGATTAATGGAAGTGCAGGAAGAAGAACATGAAAGTGGATACGAGCCATCAACCTGCCAGGAAACTTAAGCTGCCCCGCTTAAACAATAGAGCATTTTTGAATTGCGGTGAATAAGGACAAGTGATGTGAACACCTCGATATTTCATTGTATTTTAATATGGCTGTGATATTGTCCTGAAATAGACACTGTTACAGGTCACCGTTATTGAACACATTATGATGCAATTTCCCACAAATTTCTCACGTCATTTAAGTCAGCGCTGTCGGCATCTGTTCCTAAAAACAATATTATATTTTTTGTTGCTAACTCATCTGAAGCATTATTAGAATACAAATAGAGTATGCCAGATGCTCAATCCGTTTTACAAATAATAAATTCAGAGAACCACAAAGTAGTGTAGATGAAGTTACCCAGTCAACACGGATCTGCACATCAAAAGACTACCATATTACTTTGTTAAAAGTGAGTTAGGTTGACTTTGAATAATACATATAACCGTAGTATAAAATGACTATATTTCAGTGTGAAGCAGGGCCTAACCACACAATGATGTTCAGTCATTTTAAACTATTTTCAAGACTGCCCCCAAGTGTACATCGGGGGCAGCCTGCCTTTGTGCTGGGCAGCCTCCAGGTGTTAATGATAACAATGTGATCAGGGCCTTCCTGCAAATGAGAGGTTGCTCTCAGTGAAGCTCCCTGAATAAATTAAGGTTTATAAAAAACAAGGACTGGTCATCTGCATTTCTTAGAAACAGTGAACAACTAGCAGCTCAAAACCAAAAGAAATTTAATTTACAATAATATGAATATAATGTCCCCGCGACCCTGTAGGCAGGATAGGCGGTTGACGATGGATGGATGGATGAATATAATGTATTTACATTTGAAAGGTGAAAAAACCTGGAAAATTTGGTATTTTTCTTAATAAACAACTAGTGATACATTTTCTGTCTCTATTCGATTAATGGAGTAATACGTTTGCCCTGTTGTCAGTCTTGTTTGTTAGTTAGCAGAATACATCACACGTATCAATAGATTTTATTAAAGTTGGAAACAAATTTAGTCCTCTGGAAAGGTTGACCAGTGTAGTTTTACATCTGCATGCAGATGCTGATTAGTGTTGTAGTCAAACCAAAACCTAACGCAGACCAAGTCAAGACCAAACCCGAAAGGGGGCGAGACCGAGTTAAGACCAAGACCAGTTCCCCACATTACATGACACACAATAAAATGTGGAACGAGATCATAGGCACTTCTCAAATTGATCTGAAAGATCCACATTCCCATTAAAAACACACACATGCAAACACTAAGAGCTGAAATCAACGTAAGCATCACCATTGCCAGGAGAGGTGACAGTCGTTAAAGGTAACAACACATTTTAATCAGGGTTATTGGTTGCATTTGAAGCAATAAGTTTTACAAATAAATCAGAAAAGCAATTCATTGATATTCCCAAAGTTATGGTCTAGAAATAAAATCCAGAGTCCTCAATGTCTGAGGCAGAGACAAGGTCGTGTACAAATGCGGTCGAATCCGAGACAAGACTAAGACCATCAAAAAGTGGTTTGTACTACAACACTGATAAACAAACACCGTTTTTGAATCCATGCTATTTTCTTTGGACACTAACAAAATGAAAGTATTTTAAGACATTTATCGCATGATTGTCTGTCGCTGTATATTTAGATGCTGATCTTGGTCAGACTGTTCAGCCTTCACAGAAATTGTGAGCTCTCCTTCGATTACAGAAGGACAAAGGTGGGGTGGCCAAAATTTTCTCCTGAGACCATGTGGCTAAATTAATTAAATGGAATGGGAGGTGCCAGCTAATTATCACTGATCCCCTTTAACATCCAAGCATTGCCTAAGTTGAGATGAAAATGTTTGGAATATAAAAAATACAAAAATGCAGTTCTTTGACTTGATATTCACAATAAATATGTCAACATTTTCATACCACATTCACAGAAAACTAGAATATTAGAGACTACTGATCGGATTACTCATTATTCTGCGATAAAACACCATTCACAGATCACCATGATGGTAAGAGATCAAATCAGATACTTTCTATGATCCCTCAGGAGACAGTCGCTTGCCAAAAGCAGGTTTAAACAGATATGAAAAAATGGAGCACTGTTTGGGTGGAGAGATCTCCAAGATCTGTGAATCTCAAAGAAATTCCACCTCTTAGCCTGAGTCATGTTCCATGTTTTAGTTATGAATAGCAACTATTCCCCACTGAGAGCCACCAGAGTGTCATAATTGATAATCTATACTGTTTACTGTGCAGTGGGGATAATATGAGAACCAATCCTTTTGTGTTTGAAGGACTTAAGCCAAAAGAAACGTGTTGTGAAAAGGCACATGTTCCTGGGTGGGTGCCCTGTGAAGCCGGTGACTGGGTGTGTTTTAAAGGAAAAAAGCACTGAAACATTCAGCCATATTTTCAGTGTGAGAAGTGGAATTATCTCATTGAATTTAAGTTAATATCCAAAGTCACTCTGGTGGTTGACCACTGTCCTGCGGGATAGAAAGGCATTACTAGCTCCTCTACCTACTGTTATTTTTCCTGGTGCCAGTGTTAGTGACTTACTGTCATATCAAGATAACCGGAAGGCAAAAGGCAGGGCCACACCTAGACAAACAACCACTCACACTTAAGGACAATTTAGGGTCACCAATTAACCTAGTCCACATGTCTTTGGACAGTGGGAGCACCTGGAGACAACCCACGCAGACACAGGGAGAACATACAAACTCCACACAGAAAGGCTGGGGCAACCGGGGTTTGAACCCGCAACCTTCTTGCTGTGTGAGGCAACAGTGTGAAACACTGCACCACCATGCCACCCCATAACCATAACATATACTATGTAAATGTAACCATACTATATAAGTTATATAGTATAGTTATTGTGTTACAGTACTGTCATGCACATGAGCTCTGGTGATACAGGAAGCAACAATCTGACCACCAAATCAGAATTAGAAAGCTCACTGATTTTGCACTACTGGGAGGTGCGTTTTGATTTACAAACAAAATTCAAATGATCAAAATATTGATATATAGGTGTTATCACTGAAGCCAGATTTGTCATGTCTGCCAAGTTTGAAAAGTTATTTTCTATCATTCGAGGAACACTAATTAACCATGGGAAGTGTCTTGAGTACAGTTTATCCACAAGATTACTATATATTTATTTTTAAATAGTATTTATATAAAAATGTTCATTTTATTTATTTATTATCCTATTTGTTCATTACTTAAAGTTGATGGTTGACATCAGCACAGCCATCTACAATATCCATCTCTTCAGGGATTGTTTAAATTCCGAGTTGTTGGACATTGGGAAATTTTCAATTCATGCTATTGAAATCCTTGATTGGCTACTTCCCAGCTGACAAAGGTCAATCTGCCAAAGACAATTATGGTGCACTTCTAAACTGCCATCATCGAGTTCATCTTTCCTTGAAATATCTTAAAATGCCATTAAATTGTTTAATGGCAATTCATACAAGTAAATATGAATTTTAAACAAAAGTTTTGTAAACTAGTGAAAATGTGGGATAACAAAGCCACTGCCATTTAGCATAACAGGTGACACTGTGGCACTTTTTTGTTTTGCTTAAGGACAATAGTGTGATGCTGATTTCATACATGCACATATTTAACAGGCAGTTTCTTGGCCTCCTATATAAAGTAATGACCCTAAGCTATAAAGATTACCATTACATTTCATATTTAATATGGCTTTTTATAAAATAATTCAAATTAAAAGTAGCCTATGTTTGCATGCATTGTTGTTACAAACGTTACCAGAGGGCAAAAAAGGGAAATCGTTTATTTCAGGGAGATTTACTCACTTCAGCCCATAGATAGAGGGTCTTCAATGGGTCTTTTTATTGTCACATGATCAACATCATGTCATATGCTGTTGATGAAGGAAAGTGAAATATTCTCTGGTTTTTATTCTGATGTCCACCTTGCTGCTCTGACTCAGCTCTGTGATGTATTAAGTTTCCTGATGGACTGACAGCTTTACTTGTTGCTAACCTACAATAACAGTACTGTGTGGTAAGGTGGCTGCTGTTATCAGCTGACTCTGCCTGAACTGGGTCCCACCGGCCATAGCTGCTACAGGCCAACTATCTTTAGAGGTCTAAACACCTACACCCCCAGAGCACAAAGATTGCAGTCTGGTGCAGAGTCAGCTAACAGGACAGCTAGCTGCATGGCTAACTAGCTACCGTTAGCAGTACCAGTGGGTGAAGTAACTGCTAACAACAAGTAAAGCTGTCTGTCCCTCAGGAACCGAAAGTTGAGGCAATGTAAAGCACATGTTAATGTCCAAAACAAAACACAAAACACAAATATGATGCTGGGAATTCTTTATTAACGGAAATATACATCAGGTTTACACAACCACATTGACACATATAACAGTTAATCACATCCTGAGAACAAGCAATAGCACACTGTAGACATTGTATGCTACAGGGTGACACATGATGAGACGCACAAGTCCGCCACTTATCATCAGGAGGCTTCCTACTTAGGGCCAGAGCTACAAAATTTGTTTTAATTAGGTTAATTCTCCAATTAATAATTCTTAAAACAAGAGATATTTAATAAATTGTTTAAAATGTCTGTTGGGGCACTGTTACTATTTTGCTAATTGTTATTGTTTTGTCAATTAGATGAGTCATTTGATGAGATTTTTTGTAACCAAACAGCAAGGATAACATTCGTTCAAATTAGACTCACAAATTTTTCGTTACAGTATACATTTAGTTCTGGTAAAAGTTTTATGATAATAAACTTTTTTTACATTTACCAAATTCATACCATGATTTTGTCTCATGATACATAGTTTAAGCAGCACACACAAAATCTACCCTTGTTGTTCACTTGCCTTTGTTTTGTTTTTTTACCTTTAAGAGCTTGATCATGATTATTGAGGACGCCAGATTTATGACAATGAACAACATCTCAAATATTCATTTCTCATTATTCATCATGTTATTTGCTATGTATCATGGGCAAACTGCAGGTTTATTTCTGGTTATAGTTGTTCTTCTCTTTAGAATCAGCACATGGCTTCATTTCAGTGGGGCAGGGGTGATGCAGGAGGAAGAGGAGGATGAAGAAGATGGAGGCGTTTGTTGTATCCGTGGGGAAGAGGCTGTGAAGGCAAAACATCAAAGATTTAGTCACATTCAGTTTGCAGGAATTTTATATTTAATGTAGGTCATTTACTAAAATTTGATAACTCACAACAGCAAACTTCACGTCATTGCTGATATTTTTATGCAGAACGAATCATATTAAAATGCAAGCAAAGTTTCATTATGACCTGTGCAGTGATAAATCAATATATAGCTACAGGATGCTGTTATAAACAAGACTCCCCTCTATCCCAGAGTCATAACTGGTTTCATTATGAAAACAAATGAGCCCAACTCAATATTTACTAAAGATCTTACTTGTCTCAAATATTACTTACAAAGTACTGTCTCAGGAAAAAAGTATAAAATATAAAACCACATACTCAAAAAAGAGTAGTCTCACTGGCGTCACAAAACTTTTTCTCTCCTTTTAATCAACCACTGATGACTATCATTTGTCACTACCTCATGCTTTCACTACAGGTCATATATAATATTTACTTACTATGTGCTAGTCCACACTTCGCCTCCCTCTGTAAATCACTGGATATAACAAGTTAGAGTGATGTTAGAAAAATTATACATTTTAAACTTTTTATCAGAAAGTACCAGGGATTGATTTTATTATTGATTTGATTTAAATGATTTTAACTTATAATAGCCTTAAAATTTCAGAACGCTAACATACTCACCTGTGCCAATGTTGTTCCCTGAGCAAGTGACTGAGAGCAGAAACAATAGAAAGTCAGATTCAGCCAAAATGTTGTCATCCAGAGTCATCATGTTTCATCTTGTAGTTCCTGATGATCTAAAATGTTTGAATAGTCTTTTCTGCTGTTTTGCTATGTTCTAATCTTAAGTAAAGTTAATACAATTCCTTTATAGTAGGAAGTAGGCCTATATACAATGATAGTGGTGAAACTACATTGTGTAAATTACTGTCAGTGTGTCTTGTAAAATATCACGACAAATCTGTTGACACTTTAAGACAGCATAGAAAGTTAACTGTTATTAACAAATGTAGGTTTTACAATACTGTCATACCTGAATACAGTCTCTGGGGGCAGAACAGGACTTTGCTGCCCTCTGGTGTGAGCGGAGCTACCATTACATTAAAAACATCCCCACACTGGATGTAGCTAAAATCACAGCTGTTCTCCCCAGGAACCGCAGTGCAGGTGTAGTTGTTGCTGGTGCCCACCATCTCTGTGATGTAGCTGTGGCTGCTGCCACCGCTGCGCCAGTACACCCGCAGAGAGTTACCTGCCATCTTGTAGAGCCTGACACCTGACGGACAGCAGGCACCTGTGACAGAGCGAGACCTTTATGAAATGATGTGTCTGTGTGTGTGTGATACAAACTAAATTAAGAATCCCTTAAATGAGGGTTTTAAAGAATTGTGTGCATGACACATACTGAGTGGGACATTTTACATTTTACAGTTGAAAAATAAACTTGTCAGTGCTTTCTGGTGGAAAAATGGACACCTACAGTATATGGAAACATATTTTTAATTTCTTCATATTTACTTACTTATTACTTGTTATCTGTCAACATACACTCACTGACACTTTATTAGCTACACCTTGCCAAGGGCGTCACTTTGTGTTGAAAAGTGGTGGGGACATAATGTAATAATACATATAATAATACTCATATAATAGGGCTCAGATTAGGAGCGTGATGATACAAGACTTGACAATGCACGAGAACAAGACGAGAAGATTTGTCGCACTATTTTGAAGAAATATTTGATGCTGAAATATATGAGCGGGGGGTCTGGGGGTCTTCCACCAGAAGATCTTGAACCTTAAACTCATAATTTCCTGCATTCTGGAGACATTTTCTGCTCCAATTTATGTTGGAAATGTCTTTTTTTTATATGAAGGGAAACTATATTTAAATTGCATTGAATGTTTACCTATTGCGCAAATAAACCCTTCTCAAAGCATTTTCATTTGTTAGTTAACATTTCTTACTGCAAACTATTTTTCAGAACATTTTTAACAAATGCTTTCAAAAAGTGATGCTGACAAAATCAGTGAAAATCCCAGTAGATCAGTAATGAAATACTCATACCCGTCTTGCACCAACAACCATGCCACGTTCAAAGTCAATAAAATCCCTTTTCTTCCCCATTCTAATGCTCGGTTTGAACTTCAGCAAGTTGTCCTTACCACGTCTACATGTCTAAATGCATTACGTTGCTGCCTTGTGACTGACTGATTAGCTACTTGTGTTAAAAAGCAATTGAACGGGTGTACCTAATAAAGTGGCCGGTGAGTGTATATGCAGATAACGAAATATCTATGACTGTATCTAACTAATATCTGCTATTATATCAGTATGACCAATTTATCTGTGTAGTTCTAATACTTCAAAAACAATAAAAATGGCTAAACTCCCAATCTCACTTACATGGGAAGTCACTAATATGTAAAATATTGCTTCCATATTCTAAGAAGTATACTGAAGAGCTGTGTAAAGACACAAATATGACAATCACATAAATATGACATTAATGTTATGATATTAATAGTATAATGTTAGAATAGTAAAATTATTTTGAAGTGTGTGTAAAGGACTCTGAAGCAGCATTTAAACCCTGATTTAAACAATAATTTGACTCTTTATTTAAACCAGTAGATGTTGGATCTTGACGATTTTTGGGTAAAAAAACCTCCACCAGCACATTGTATCTGTTGACAAGATTACTAGTATCATTTATCATATTCTCTGTGTGACAAGTAAAAATTAAAGTTAACTGCTCTGTTACTCTGTGTTAAAGGTCGATCTTTCCTTCTCATTGGAATAAAACATCATCACTTACTAGATGAGAAGCCCTGATAGGTGCAGTTGGACTTGAGCCCACTGTGACTGAATGCCTCCATGGTGACGGTGTAGTTGGTCCCACAGGAGATGCATCCCATGAGGCAGTGGGAGTCCTGGGTGTGGCAGCGGGCGTGACCACGCGTTGATGTCAAAGAAGTTATGAACAAGTGCGCTCCTTTGGCGTGAGACCATGAGACATTTGTCACTGCCTGAGTCACCTGATCCACTGTTAGATTCACCGGGCAACAGGGTTCTGTAAAAGAAGATGATGCACAGTTATATGAATGCCAGAAAGCTACCATCTGTATCTGCATCTGTCTCTTTCTTTTATTTTAGTCCATCCTTCCATCCATCGTCAACCGCTTATCATGCGTACAGGTTTTGAATTCAGGACTTTTACTTGTAACAGAGGGTTTTTACATTTTTGTATTGTTACTTTTACATTAAGATCTGAATACTTCTTCGATCACACCCTATTGGAGATTTAGGACCAACATGTTAGATGGTGCTCTCTTTGGAAGACTAGTGTTCATCCTTTCATAGACTTACACAGACTTGTAAAATCTATGCCAAGAGCACTGCATCTGTTCTGAAGGCTTGCGGTGGACCAACATGTCTTTAATATGCTTTTATACTAGTTCTTAACTTGTCATCAACCATCTGTACCTTGTAACTGAATGGATCAATCTAAACCTTCGACTACTCACCTGTTTCTAGAGAGTCAGAGTAGCTTGGTAAACTCTGGCCTGCTGCGCTGGTTGCTATGACGCTGACTTCGTAGGTGGAGCCACAGGGAAGGTCAGTGATGTCACAGCTGTTTCCACTGGTGGTGCAGGTGTATTTTCCATCATGTCCCAGCGCACTCACAGTGTAAGTAGCAGGCCTGTTGTTTGCTGTCCAGCTGACACCGGTGCAGGAAGAGTTTTTCAGATTCAGCATCAGATTCATCGGCATGCAGGGAGCTGACGATGATGGAGGAAAGAAGAAATTAAAAGTTGAGCTTTGTAAAAGTAGAATTTATGGCAGAGCTGATCTTATGTGGTTCTTCATAAATAAAATGTGACAACCCCAGGTTGTTACCTCATATTGGTATTAAATATTTTGTGAATTGTTCAGTGAAAAGTTGTTTTTTTTTACCAAACTTTTTAACAAACAAAATGTATGTAGCTATCAGTCAAGATGAAGCACGAAGCAAAAGACTTTGTGCTTCTGAATTGAACTCTTAGCTTATTTGAATATGTAAAATAAATAAATAAAGTTTTGAAACGTATTTTTTCTGTATTAAAGTTCAAGTGGATTTTAAGTCTAATAGGATAAACATTTTACTTTTTTAGTTTTATGTGAAATTTATGTACTTAAGTAAAATATACAAAAATATTGGGCTATATAATAGGGCAGGGCACCTTAACGCGTTATTATCACTTTAAGGAATTAATTAATTAACGCTGACAATTATTTTATCGCACCTTAACACAGTTGTTATTAGCCAAGTCTACACATAGGCTACAGTCAAACCATGGGTCACAGGCGTGATGATGAACAGCCTGCAAATCAGCCACCCAAACAAGCAGCGGAGAGAGGCTTCAGCAGACTACGCTGGATGCAGCGTGTGGGAGAAGAAGATAAACAAAAGCAAGACAAGCGATCAAATGCCATAGTGAAGTGGATAGCTATGCACTGCATCCTGATTACTACTGGGGAAGATGTCGGTGTCGTTTGGCCCTGCGGGGTTGCTCTGCGCTCAGCAGGTGATTTCAGACAGGGAGACTAGAGCTCCGCGAGTAAACAGCAGGCGCTCTATGGATAGTAGGCCTACCAAGGCACCGGCTTCTGTGTGCTAAACAGCTGTAGCCTGTTGAGTTGAACTTTACCTGATAGGCCTTCATCTAGTTTTGCGGGGATGCTCTGCCTTGCAAATTTAGTAAAGAGTAATAGATTCTGGAAAGTCACAAACAGCGAGTATCAGTCTCTCTTCCATTGATTTGTGCTCCATCTAGCCTACAAAAAGTTCAAGACAATTCAACTCCGGCAGGGAGCGGGCGTGTGCGTGAGGCGAGCACTTCACCTCACTATAACAGAGACACTTGCTACTGAACATAGACTGTTTGTGTTACACCCTGAAAAAAGAAAAAAAATGTTTCTGCTGATACCTGTTCAGAAAAAAAACTTTAACTACTAACTATGCGAATAATTGCGACAATAACAATTTTTTATCGTTGCCCAGTGCTAATATATATGTGTGTGTGTGCGTACAGTGTATATATACAGTGTATATATAGTTTTCTACCTGTGTCTTGTGTGTGAGCTTTGCATGCACGGTTGCATCCGCTCATTTCATTGCAAGGTGTCACCACCACACTGTAGGAAGTGTCGCAGCTTAGGTCAGAGAGGGCGCACACCGGTGCCGTGTCGTTACAAAGGATGACCTCTGAACTGTCCACCGCCCGAGTCTCATACAACTCTGTCCCCCGTGAGGCCGTCCACATGATCTCCAGAGTGTCAGTGCTCACCACAGTGACGGATACACCCTCTGGACAACAGGGCACTGAAAGACAGATGATTCACAAGTAAACAGACATAAAGATCATTGAAAATCTGTCATATAATGACTTAAAATCTTAAATCATGTCACCTCAGCTGCCACTTACAGGTGGTATAGTATAGATCCTCTCCTTTAGGACTGCTGCCAGCTTTATTGAATGCGAACACAGACATCAGGTATGTGTAGCCACAGGTGCAGTGGTAGGTACAGTTGTTGCTGGTGGTGTTGCAGGTCTCCTCACCGCCATCACCTCTCTTGATCAAGGCCACGTAGCTGTCAGCATGAGGCATCAGGTTCCATGTCAGTGTGCAGATTCCTTCTGATAACTCCATAAGAGCCAAAGACTCTGGCGGGCAGGGGACTGGCAGCACAGGGCAGCAGGGTTGAGTCACACTTATATACCTACTGTGCTTTCAGAGATGCAATGTCATTTTGGATCCATAACTATCACTGCGTTTTTTCTGAAGCATTTCTCAGTAGTAAGAAACTAATAATTAAATTGTCATTTTTATTCATACATTCCTGTATATAACACAATATGTTTTTTAATTAGACGATAAAGTCTGACAATAACTCTTTTATTATATTGTATATTGTAGCGTATATTAAATGTATATGTATTATTACATGTTAGATTTTTTATTCATTACATTGATGAGAAGTGGAACCAGAAGCAGGCAACTGGTAAATTAATCTGGTGAGGTACATTAGCAGGATTGACCTTTTAAAAACGGGACTTGATCTTAGCTATGCACTGTGTGCTGCCAACCATAAAGGTAATATATATTGTGATATGATAAAATATCTGGTCATTTATAGAGAAAATGGATGATGGAAATGTTTCTGACTAAACCACTGAACGAAATACCAAATAAATCAAAATGCATCGTTATAATGATGCAAAAATACATCAAATCATTAAATTTAGTAAGGTTTCCATAAAAAAGCCTGCTATCTCTCATGAACTATGAACAACTGTGGTTGACACATTTGTATACATATGTCTCTGATGATTGTATGATTGAACTTATATCTGTGTATACTTTAGCACTTAAAGTCAAAGTCAGTATTAGAAAAAAATAGAACAATCAAAAAACAATATTAGCCGATACAACTGTGTGGAGCTGATCCAAATCGAAACTCTACTATACTCACAGCTGATGGACACCACGGGGCTGGATGGGAAGCTGGGCCCGGCCTTGTTCGAGGCGATGACCTGGACAGTGTGTATCTCTCCACAGCCTATTGGCGACAGGGTGCAGGAGCTGGATGTGGAGTTACATGTGAGGTTCTGATCACTCCTCACCTGGTACTCGATGGATCCATAGACCCCCTGATCGAGTTCCCAGGAAACAGAGAGTCCGGGTACACTATTATATAATACCACAGAGACATTGACAGAACGTGGTGTCGGAGGTCCTGTTCAAAGAAAACAAGAAAATATCAGGACACACCCAATGATGTATCAAAGTGCAAAAAAAAACATACACACGTATTAGGTCAGTCAAAACCATAAGCAAATGCAGTCTTAGTTGATACTAAATATATAAACACCAGTATATAGATACAAGGTACCAATATGAAGTTATTTATATATACATTTATATATATATATATAGTTTATACATGTTTCCGTCACAGATAAACCCCTTAACCTTAAAATGAGTGATTATATGGGGATATTGTAAGATTTGGAAGTCTTACAATATCACACCAATAGGAGTTCTCTGACATAGTACGTAACTGTGGTAAAGTACGTGCAAAATGCGCGCCTAATTTTTATTTTGTTTTTATCTCTTTAAGTATACAATTTCTCATATATTTTTATGAATGCCAATGGACTAATAGTTATAGGAGAGCCTGTCTTCTGCTGTATGTGATCTGACGTACACAGCAGTTCACAGAGTGTAAAAACACACAGAGAAGTGTCTCAGCGCCCCCTTACGTGTTGTCAGGTTGTGGAACAAACTGCACTCTCCCTTTCGGCCCTCGAGGTCCCATGCAAAACCACTGATTACATAGAGTGAGCCAGCATCCAGGCCAGAGATGGTCAGATACGTGTTGGAGGTGTTGTACGTCATGTTGGTGATTGAGCCAAACTTGTATATGTACAGGGTATACTGGACAGCTTGAGCAACAGGGACCCAGGATACATTGATGCTGTCATTGCTGGGAGAGTAGGCGGAGAAAAGAGGAGGATGCAAAACTGTGGAGGAGAATAAAGTTTGACAGGTTTTAAATTAGGAGAACAATTGTTCCATAAAGTAGAACATTGCATGGTATGAAACTCCACTGGGTTGTGGTTGAAGTCTTTTCATCCAAATTCCATCCAAGATCCTTTGCCTGTCTGGATTTTAAATAAAAAATGCAAATTAACACAGACACAATGTCACTTTAGTGGTTAGTGGTTGTGCATTCAAAGCTGGGTTTTTTAGTTTTTTGATTTAAGGCAAGTCTTCTGTCTCTCTGAAAGCTAACTATTTAAATGATAGATGATGATGATGATATATGAAATGATAGTGTCTTTTACACTTCTGAGAACAAGTCATTTCACTTTGTGGGCCTAATATTTCAATATATAAGCTTTACAAGAGTCAAAACTTGAGACCTGTCTTTTGCTTTGAAGGATCTATTTGCGTTAAGGCCCTGAGAACTTTTGTCAGTGTAAATCCTGGGATCCTACAAGAATACACTTTTTTCTGCCACAGTTTTAGTAATTTCACATGAGCGATTTTGATACTGTATTTGTTTTTTTCCTTTGCTTTTCTCACTAATCAAAGAAGGTCTGTTAAACTTCAATAACTAATAGTTAAAGAGTTTTTTTTTAACTTTGATTGTGGCTTATTTAGTCATTAATATTTAATTTTATAGAGAAATTTAAAATTTGTTTTCCGGGGTTTTTAGTCTTTAGTGCATCATGTTTCAAGTAATTGAATTCTCACAGTATTTAAGCCCAAGTCTCAAGTACAGTTAATTTCAGGAGTCATTTACCGCCAGTAATGTCAGATTTTGAACTACAGCCTTGGTTGCCACATAAATAAGAGTCTCACAACTGTGCTTCAGAATCTGCGCAATTGGGTAGCAATGGTGCAGAGGATAAGTTTTTTGGCTCATGTGGATCAGATAAGCCCCCTTCCGGGGTGGGCATGGCGGTGAGAGGTGATAGCTATGTTCTCAGGATGAGGTGCTCATTGTGTTTGACACACAATGTTCAGGTACAGTTACCACCGATACACAAGAGGCCCTGAGGGGTCCTGATGCATTTACAAGACTAACCTGGATTTGCACAAAGACTGAAGGTGGATTTGACTGAAAATGATGCATGTATACATTAACTCACAGTATATAGTGGCCCTGCTATGGGACAATGAGGCAGATCAAGTGATTTCTGTAGGGCATGGAGATCGAAGAAAAGTAGCCTTCTCAGTGTTTACAATGAACTTGTGACTCATTTCTACACAAAGGCCAGTCCTTGGGTGTTATTTCCTCTAGAATTAATTTATGAGATCTTGTTTCATATCTGTGGAAGTGACAACATGTGAAATCTAACATTCCACACACAAATAAAGACAATGTGACAAACAACAGTACCTGTCTTTGCAGTCACAGGAAGAGATGGCTGGCTGCGGCCTCCACTGTTCCCAGCCATGATACTGAGCTTGTACTCAGTGTATGGTGTGAGGAACTTGATCTCAGCAGGGGATGAGTGCACTGTGTCTTCTCTGAAGAAGCCGTTGGCATTTTGGACTCGTATGATGTAATAGGTTGCCCCGGTCTCCAAGTTGAACTCTGCTATCAAGGTGCGGCTATCCTTTGGCTTCACTGTCTGGATGGGATCCATTGCCTTAGGGGCTAAAATAGTCGGCATCCAAGAAAAGGACACATACTGTAAATTTTAACTTCAAATAGGTAGATTTTTCTAGTGAGATGCAAGAGATGGCCTCCACCTTCTCAGCAATTGTTGGCTGTGGAATCCACCTTTTTACTTACAAACTTCAGAGAATAATATATAATATTTTGTTTTCCCTGGTTACACCACACACTGAATTAAAACAATAATTATTTTCATCACAACTAAGTAGGACTAACATCTGTGTTACCTTGTAAACCAAACTGAAGTGAAACACAGTGACATTTATTTACATTACATTAACATTTATTTTACAGTGACTCTGCTCAGTGTAGGTGTTTAAATAATTTACTCTGTAAAATTAATTATTATAATGGCTCCACTATTTATTTTTTTAAGACTATATGTTGAAAGTGAATTAGTGAATGACATAAGACTGTAAACATTTCAGTTTTTTCAGACAAAGTCAAACATATACAACGTCAACACAACACAACTTATTTTTGTAATGTCAAATTAAACAACAATAAATAGAATATTCTGGTGTTGCATACTTAAACAGTACAGGTATGGACACAAGTACCTCACCTGTTGATGCCTCAAAAGTCGCACTGGTCAGTGTTCCTTGGGAATCATCCAGAGCTGTAACTGTGAATGTATACAGGGTGTTTGGGGACAGAGAGTTGACAGAGCCCAACACTATGTTTGGACCGTATGTGGCAAAAGCAATGGGGTTGTTTGGTGAGCTTTGGGGGGCGACAGTGATCTTGTATGAGCTGGCTCCAGAGTACTTGGTCCATCTGAAAATCACAGTCTGGGATGTTGTTGAGAACACTGATGCTTGGAAAGCTGATGAGAGAGATGAAAGTGTAGATCATTATAGCACTTGTTTATCACCAAAGACATGTATTATTTTACAAATAATGAGTAATATATAAGGGGTTTTGTGCCCCTTCATGCTGATATATATAAATATCTACAGAGTAGTATGTAGTAAAAGACAATATATAGTACCTGGTTGTGCTGCAGCCTGCAAATTTAGATGAGAGAATATATTGTCAACAGTTTTATGTAATTATATACAATCCATGTTACTACAGCAGATAGAATATTTTTACCAGTTCTATGTAATTTTAAACAATTCAAATTACTACAGCTGAGAGAATATTAGTAACAGTTTTATGTAATTATATACAATCCAAGTTACTACAAACTAGTTAAGTACTTTTAAAGTTAATTTTCCATTGCATTGTGCTCTTCCCTTTCTCAACAAAAAGTCTGTGTCTGGATTTGAAATCTCTAGTCTAACTAATTGTATTATTTCACTGTACCTGTGAACACATGCCCAGCAAGACAAAAATCACCAGCCACTTCATTGCGCCCATTCTTCACGTCAGTCTTTTAAAACACTCCTGTCACAGTTTCTCACACTTTGCAACTTCTGTTAGAATTGTTAAAATGTTTCACACTTAACTGTTTCACCTTTCCTTAAACATATCTGGTGTCTGTGGTTGAAATACCTGCATCTGGTCCCTCCCACTGGAGGTAAATGTCCACTCATAGCGAAGCAGAGAGATGCACCTTGGGGCTGGTGCAGATCGGGTAACAGGGATGGGCAGTATTTCAGTTAGCCTAAATGTATTTAAAATACAGAATAAATAAGATGTACTTTGTAACTAACTACTTTAAGAGCTTGTATTTCTGTATTTGAAATATGTTTACTTTTTCTCAAATAAGACAGATTTTTATCCCCAGGTTTAAACTTTAGGGAAAAACTGTACAAGTCTAATCACATTCTTTCGCTAAATGCAAGGGAATCACATGGCATGTCCTGTTGGGTCAAGCAACTCATTGTGAACTATTGTGTTCCTCATGACCAGTAGCTTCAGTAAAGAAGCTGCTTTGGGATTTGATGCAAATTTCCCGTGAAATAAAGGTATGTAATCAAAGTATGATTGGATATTGCATGCTAACGCAGGCTTACTTAAAGACGATAAAATTCAACAGAAGAAAAGGGCAATTAGCAAACTCATGTCCTCTGGAACTGAAACCACCCAGCATGCACCCCTGAATTCACAGCTCCCACCTCCGAGATATCCTGACTGACCACATCGTATCTATGATGTGGGAAATTAGCAGAGCGCATCTTTTCAATGCAAGGGGTTTAAGGTCAGACCCATATTGAGTCTACTAAATCCCTAAAATGTGGTTATCAGTTCATATAGAATGCATTTTTATATCTTCAAATCTTCAAATCACTTGTATTTTAATTAAATCAATTTTCTCAAATCAGTAGGCTACTTACTATTTTGGATTTTATTTTTTATAAATTTGATGAACAAGTATTTGTCATTTGTAACAAGATACTTTTTGATGTATTTGTGCCCATCTCTTGGTAGCATGAGACAGAAACACTGTTGTAGCTATTGGCATGATATTCTAAATTCAAGGATGTAGTCAAGATAGCACAAAATTGGATTGCCCTTGCCAAAGGCCTCAAATCACTCACTTTTACGCTGAGGTGTGAAAGGGAGTGATGAATGAATATAGCCCATTTCTCTCAGGAAAGGAACAATAAATACAATTTTCAGAATAAAGTTTCTCAAAGTGATTTGGTAGTCAAATATTTTGTCGTAGCCTATAAGTTGCGATACTAAGTCAACGTTATAAGTCAATTTTGTCAGATAATTGACTTATTATCTCGTGTTTGAGTAAGCTTATATCGTAATTTTGATTAAAATGTTCTTACTATCTCATGATTATGACATAGTACGCCTATCTCATAACACTGACTCATGTTTATGACTTTTTATATCATTCATTCATCATTCATTTCATGTCATTATTTTAACCAAGAAAGTAAATGTTTTATTTGCATATCTCTGAATTACCCTGGGTATCGTCATTTTTAACAGACCTATATGTTTATCATGTTTCCTTTTCACTGGCGACTTTCACTTTTATCTGTATCCATCTATATTTTAAACAAAAATGCCAGAAGAGTAACAGATAGATAGATGGATAAACTGTCAGATGAGTAGATGACGCTAAACACTAAAGTTTTCTATTGTGGTTGTAAAAAAACTACAGTAGCGCTCCGTCGCACACTTCTTGACGCAGCTGACGTCATAGTGCGAGGACACACGGGACAGGAAGAGGTGCAGAGTTGGGAAAAAAAAAACAAAAAGGCAAGATGGCAGCGGGCTCAGACCACGGGCTGAAAAGAATAGTTTGGAAAAGTAAGTTCACTCCAATGTGAGAGTGTTTATTGCACATGTAAAACGGCGTGACGCTTTCATAATGTTGTCATTACTCGAAGGGTTATTAACTAACGTACGTGCTGTTTTTCAATAACTGTTCCTTTGTGACATTACATCTTGGACTGAAGTTTCATTCTGTTTATCGCAACGGAAGTTTACACACTTGGACTGGGGGAACAGCCTGAAGGGTAATAACAGTAGACTATACTTGGGTTAACACTGGGCGCTATTATTTAGCATAACTTTGCTGTCATCGCCTCTTGTAGCCCACAGGGTAACTGTACGATAGCCGGAGTGAGGTCACTTTCTTTCGGCTAGAGCCCCACCTTGGATTGGCAGGCTAACGTTCACACACTACGTTTACAATATTATTAACCACAATAACTCGGATACCGTGAACTGGTACAAACCTAACGACAACAAGTCTGTTTCCTCGCCGGGAAAACGTTTGTGTTCCCCGTTGCGGTGCCTTCCGTGGTTGTGGTTAGGGTGTGTTAAGATGTCGCAGAGCTGACAGGTTTAGGCGAAGAGTTTGGGTTGAGGTTAAAATAAGGGAAAACATAACGTTACACACTGTTATCGAGTTATTAGGCAACTGTAACGTTACATGTCGTTAAAAAAAACGACGTGTGCTGTGAATTGATTATTTATTGTTTTTCCGGTGATTACTTAGTTGGTGAAATACCAAAAAAAAAAATAAAGATAAATGCCCATCACAAATGTGCACACCCTAAACAATGATTTATGTAAGTGTAAAGTTATGATCTCTTGGTTTCTGTCCACCAGCATTTCAGCGCTAGAACCAAGCTAGATCTCAAATAGCATAGTCTTTTACAGTTTTTTTTTTCTTCTGGTTTTGATGTTTTTAATGATTCACGTTCTGTGTCTCTTACAGGAATACAAGATACCATTATCAAAGACTGCAGAAAATCTGAAGTATGGAATGTAAGGCAACCCTCCATGTACTCAATACTGAGTCCTAAGACTGGAATTGCATGTAAAATGGATAACTTCCACTATACAGATCCAGCTTTTAGCAGTGCTAATACTTTTCATGTGGAGCTGCACTCCCTAGAAGTATAATACAGTTTGTTACATATTTGACTGACCTATACAAATTTAATTTCATTACAGATATTGATTCTGGACCACTTCACCACCAAGCTCCTTTCATCATGCTGCAAAATGTCCGATCTGATGTCAGAGAAAATAACAAGTAGGCTATGCATAATGTTGAAACACTTATTTTTACGTAATACTGGTAAGAGACAGAACTATCCGAAGTCTGTATGTCAATGTCTTCAGCTATTCTTGAAATAAATATTTTGTTTCTTTAGTTGTGGAGGACCTGTTCAAAATCAGAGAGCCTGTTCCAGAAATGAAGGCCATCTACTTTATGTCACCTACTGCTAAGGTTTGCGATTATAACCATTTGAAGGCCATATTGCATTTGGATTTGGAAGTTTTTATTTCTGCAAAATTTGATAGTGACATTTTTTCATTCCAAACTGTTTCTGATAAACTTTGTAGTGATATCTTAATATTTAATTTCATAGTGTGTGGATGCCTTTATTGCTGACTTCAAGACCAAACCCAAATATAAAGCAGCATATGTTTATTTCACTGACTGTAAGTAACCTCTAAATCACTACTTTAATCTCAAAATGTTTAGATTTTTTTGTTTGTTTGTTTAACAGATAACATACATCTTAAAGCTTTTTCCCCACAGACTGTCCAGATGACCTGTTCAACAACATGAAGCTCCACTGTGCAAAGTACATACGAGTCTGTAAGGAAATAAACATTTGCTTCATGCCACAAGAGGCACAAGTGAGTGGTTGCAGTGTGTGTTCTTTTGCGCTCTTTTGTAAAGCTCCATTTCCTCTTTTTATCCAAAATGTTAACTGAGGGGAACTTTACTTGTCTCAGTGTGCCTAATGTCATGTTGCTACTGGGAGGAATAGATTTGCTGTGCTTGTCAATCTTTCCTGGTTTATGCAGTAATGTAACAATTTAAAAATATGTCCTAATGGCTTGGGAATTGTAACTGGTTTGTTCTCTGTATTTTGAAATTTTTTTTTTTTTTACACTTGTGTGTTTGATGCTTTTCAGGTGTTCACATGTGATAATCCGGGGGCTTTCCAAAGCATCTACAGTCCCAATAGTCACGACAAAAAGAAGACACTGGAGACACTTGCAGACCAGCTCGTCACACTCTGTGCCACGTTGGACGAGTACCCAGGTGTCAGATATAAGAAGTAAGCCGGAGAATATTAGGGTTCTCAGCTTACAGTACACCTCAGCCCTCAAGCAGAGTGAAAACATTTATGAGAAAAGCTTGAACTGAGACCATAGAGTCTGTTACCTAACTGTTGCATAAAAGAAATGGATCTTAAATACAGCACAAACATCACCTCACTTTGCCGTAGCTTAGCATAGCATAATAAAATTTAATTGTAAATTCCAACATCATCAATGTTTGGCTTTTATTTTCCTACACAAAGTACAATTTTATTTTCAGCAAAGACCTTGTGTGCAAAAGCAAAAATTAAAACCATACAAAAACAAAAAAGGTAATTAAAAAACAACAAATGAACTAGGGAAAAAAAACCCAGCTGTTTTTAGAACTTTTGTCAAAAACACTTGACGGGTGATTTAAAGTGACTTAAACCAGAACACTGTATCTGTGTAGCTTCTGCTGGATTAACTAAAATTGGTATTAATGCTACAGGAATGTGTATTAACTTGACTGTGATAACTGATGGAAACTATTTTTATCCCAACCAGAGACGGCAGCATGGAGAACGCCAAGACCCTTGCAGAGCTGGTGGACAACAAGCTGGCCAGACACTACGAGCTGGATGATAGTGGCAACAAAAAGGTGAGACACTTGCTGAAGAAAGACTGTTGACAGAATAAACAAGAGCTTAGCCCAGGGAGTAAATGGAAACCTTAAAATACTGACAGCTTAACACAAGGCATCCTGTTGGAAAAAAATGTTTTGATTTGTGTATTTTTCCCTAATCACAAGGGAAAGACCCAGGCCCAGTTGTTGATAATGGAGAGAGGTTTTGACCCCGTCACCCCTATCCTGCATGAGCTGACCTACCAGGCCA